TTAAAAGGACTTCGGCAGGTAGAGTTGGCAGCTGAGATGGGGATGCTTTCTGGCTTGCTGCAAGGCTGCTCAAAAGTAACTCGTGATCTCTGCCCTTCTCTGGTGGCTGAGATGTAGCTGGAAGATTGGACGGATCGCTCTCGTTGTCTTCTTCATCGTCGTCGTCGTCCAGGACCACGCGACGCACTCTTTTGTGTGTTGTTGGGGGTGAAACGTCGTCAGATCCCGAATCGGAGTCGTCCACAACTAGCGGTCGTTTGCGAGGAGATATTTGAGGAGCTCCAACACACTCCTTCTCGCTCTCGGACTTCTCACGAAGAATCCGGCGATTCCGGGGGCTGACCATCTCGCATGCGACTTGCGTTGGCAGGGAAGGCAGGGTGAATGACGATGTGCACGAGTTAGATGCAAACGATATTGGGATGATGTATTTCCAGTGGAATTGAGGTCAGTGGTGATAACACGTTGGTGTTGATGCAAACAGGAGAGCACAAAGAGCAAGGTGGGCCAGCCCGAAGCCGACGGGGACTGCTGCAGGAACCCGGCGGGTCCATCCAATCACGCACCGAACTGCCGGTGGTGACCGACCCCAGCGTCATCACTTTCCTTGTTCCTCCAGTGTCTGCGCGTTTGAGTTGTAGCGCTGGTCCATTCGCACTCGTCTCGTAATAATCCGGTAGCAATGATTTTGGGGCGTACTTTGGCTGGGTGTATAATGACGACGCCGATTTGGCGGCGGCAGTGATCGTGTTCCGTTTCCGTCTTCAACGTGACTGTTCAGCACATATGACGTGTTCGTCGTGCTCAAGATAGCGTACGCTATTTCAGATATCGCGAACACGACTAAAGTTTGAGATACAAAGGAATTGGGGATTGACTCTTTTGCTGACAGGGCGCTGTATCCGCATGCTTCCGTGACTACACGCACCGATCGTCGCTGGGACACCACATCGATCGCGGGTATACGCAGAGCTTTAGCACTAGACACATGAATGTTCGCATCGTGGTCATTCATCATATATATTGGCATTAGGATAGCGCGTTGGCATTGATTAACCTTTTCCCAAACCTAAAGGGCTCTGATCAACGCTGTAGTAGAGAGCAGACCATGTGTGCTAGGACAACAATGGTATTGTCGTATCTACGAGGCTTGTGTAAATTTCTAGCGCGCTCAGCATTCAAGACCATGAGATTTCTCAAACTTCACCGAGACGACAAGCCACAGCAGAGATAATTCATCTTTATCCAATTGCATACGCACCGAAGCAATGGATCAGGTCCCGCTCTTCATATCCTTTATGAGTCTCTCGAGAACTGTGTCGGTAAATGCCCAAACAGTTGAGCTGTATTGCGCTCCCCAAGCGTATCCAGTATACCACATATCTTTATATCCCTGCAGGGCGTATAAGTCTTGAACAAAACCTGCTCGAAATCGCTTCGCTGACCGCGGCCACCAAGGGCGGCTATGATCCGAAATCGCTTTAAATTCCGCTTCGCAATCCGCGTCGACAGTTCCAACATCCTGCATCTGTTTGACGCTTTCCAAGACTAAGCTTGTGAAGGCATCCGGAGATACCGTGTAGTTGGCGCCGAAGACGACTCGGAAGAGACCTTGGCCTACAGGCCCTGTCGAGTCTAGACGCAGACTGTATGGCCAGTCTTTGATCGCAAGCTGGTCAGCCGGTACCGCTGCCGAAGGCAAATACGTGATGGAGTAGTTTTCTGGTAAGCAAGGCGCCTTCAGAATTCCTACGAAGTTGGACTCTGTGAGCCAGTTTGAAAAGGCAGCCGTTTCCTTGTTGTCGAGATGGAAAGGAGCCAGATTTTCCAGGCTTGGGCCTGCGGTATACAGAATGCGACGTGCCTTGATGATGTAGCTGGTATCGCCCTGTTTAATTGATAGCCTTATCCCGTTCCTGGTTCGCTTCACATCGTGAACGGTGCTAGATAATAGTACGTCCGGCTTAAGGAGCTCGAGCGCGCGTTCGTAGAGGACACCGTTATTGCCAACAGGTCTGAAAAGTGTGCCGCTCAATAGACCTAAGAACAGTAAGCTAAGATCCCCAGCAAAAGAGAGTCTCGATTTGTGAACAGGCCTGCAACGTCGACTGACCTTCCGTAAGTGAGGCCCCAAAAGCCTGTAAGACGGTGAGCGTCAAAAGATTACGAATGCCTCCATAGCCCACACCAGATATTACGACTATCCGTGGAACGGCGGCTTCCAACTGATGTAGCTTAGCAAAATCACCGAATGGCGTAAGAAGATCTTCAGGGATATCTGCTGGAGATGGAAACTGCCAGAGGCCGGGCTCCAATATGTCTCTGTATTTCGACGTAATCGCAAGCCATCGCTGCAATGCTTCGTTGGCTGCATTTGCACTCGGGGCGCTGTAGTCCAGTTCCTCACCCGTCTCGACATCGATATTAAGTGCCGTCAACCTCTGATTAGTGGGGATCACCGTATAAATCCCAAAGCGTGTAAAGAAATCGTTAGCCGGTCCGTAAGGTATATAGCTTTGGACTCCGTAATCAATCGAAATGTTTGTTTCGGGAATGTGGTAGGTGCTAGTGTGACCACCCAGATTTGGTCTGGGCTCGATGAGCACTATGCTCGTGTTTAGGTCTTCGCGAAGTCGAACGGCGGCGTACGTCCCCGATGCGCCTCCGCCGATAATTGCAACATCTCTGATCAGCTCGATATGATTTGGGGTAGTTTTGCCCTCGGCAGTTGCCAACGTGACGTACGAATACAGAGAGCGCACCAACATATTGATCAATCGATTCATGGCGAGAATGGGGTGATAGGTAGCAGACTTAAGGAAGGCTCAAGGTAGGCCTTAAGTATGACCTGACGCACTGCATGCAGCAGACGTCTTACCGGCTTCATCAACATTGCTAGTTGAGTGCACAAGAAAAGCCGCCGGAACAGCCGGAGTCGAGTACGGAGTGGCTGTAGACGAAGCTCAGAGGACATCCAGCATAAGGTGGGAGCTTCCAGTCATCGGTGGCGCCTGCGTGATGTATGGCCATGCACCTGGGCAGCTGAAGGGCCTTTCCGAGGAAGCGTGGTTTAAGTGTCGTTGGAAGATAGACGCATTAATGCATCCTCGCAGTGAGAAATTCAGGCGCCGCGATCGACCTGTTTCTCAGAGCTTGCTGCACACCTGGGCCAGGCGCAAGGCCGCCGTGACTGAGAAGAGTTGGGATGCGGAAGCAGCAGTGGAGACACCCCGGGCCCCGGAAGGCTTTCTTGGCACGCTAAAGCAGACAAGGGCCGCTCAAGTCAGGTAGCGCTGACGCCGACGCGCTGCTTCCCCAGTAACACGCCAACTTCAACGTTGGCATGCGTCGCGACAAGTCAACTTTCTTCATTTACGAGGCATGCCTGCATTTGGTATACATGAGTGATACATCCACGCCACCACTTTAACAGCTGAGTGCACCATGCGAGGAGCTGTCCAGAGCCAACGCTTTCGATCCCGCGTGTCGTGCCACGGAAGCTGTCCTCAGATCAGTGGAGACCAACATCCGCAGCACAATCTCGCGACAAAGTGGGAAACTTACCGACTTAGCATATACCTTGCGCAACGGCTCATTAAGGCCGTTCGATTCGGCTCACCTTTTCCTCTTACGAAGGGGGATGGAGTGACCGGCAACTCCGAGTGCACGTACGGGTGACTACATCGGGTCACAGTTGTTGTAATACCATCGCGACCTTTTTGGCTGATATCACAGATGTTTCCGAACACCATCGTATAGTCGCAAGGAAGATCGAATAGTCAACAAATGATCGCAAATCTGTCACAGGAAGAGGTCAATGCATGCGTAGTAACATCGCCAGGTTGACGATTATCAGCAATGGGAACATCGCACTCGGGAGGACTTGCGATCGCCAAGAAAAGGTATCACTGTCACTTTATCGTCAGGCACGGCCCTTGCTGGAGAGCAGCAGTGTAACTACGTGGCGGGCCTGGTCAATTTTACCGCCTTCGTCTACTGTTCCGGTGAGCAGCATTAGGGACCTGCTCGAGCTATAAAAGCTTACTGGTATTGCGGTAAGAATCGTTGACTGCACAGGATAAAGACGCGTTATCCAGGCTTCTCACTTCTTCGAGCACTTTGCGACAGTACTGATAATGTCTTCTTTAAAGATCATCGCAGGATTGCTGATCTTGGCGATGTCTCCCTCCGCCATTTCGGTCTTCGTATCTCCAATTGCTGTCACGTCTACTCTTTCCGAGACAACTACAGTGTCTAACTCTATACCCTGGTCAAATGCCTCTACCGCGAGCTCGTTCACGGACCCTACACACGCGATGGAGAATCACTCCATCGCTAACACAACCCTGGCTTCAATAAAGAGCCAGAAAACAATCACCGAGACGTTCCCCTTGGAACAGGCCACCTCGACTACTCTATCAGGGTCGCCACAATGGACAAATGCTACTGCATCTGGCTATGTCAACACTAGCACCATCATTGGACATGCAAGCAGGAGCTCTATTTCTTCAGTATATTCCAGGAATGAAACACTAAGCCTCGTATCTTCGGCACCAGCTGTTACAGATACCAGCACGTTGAATCCCAATTCTTCCAACACACCTAGCTTGGAAACGCTCTTGACGACTAGAACAACACAACAAGAAGCATCAGGTTCATCGTCTACCGAATCAGTGGTGCTCTCGAAGAGTTCAAACCCTACTACACTTGATGAGCACTCCTCTCCGGCTTCGTGGACGTCGCATGCTGGCGAGTCCACGATATTCACGTCACCTGCCACGCCACGAATTACCATGACATCGGTGCAAACTCCAATCGCACCTATCGTCTCATACAATATCAGTGGTCAGGTCTTCACTACGATCATCACAGCTCCATTCGCAGCTCCAACGCTCGTGATCATTACGACTGTGACCCTGGGTCAGACTGCAGTTCTGCAGTTTCTCTCCGGGGGTGCAATAGTCACACCTATCCCGATACACATTTCAAATGCACCCACTATGCCGGCATTGAACCCCACTGGTTTCGAGATATCTTCTGCATTGACGATGGCGTCACTGCGGTGGATGGGTGTGGCGCTAGCTGTGCAAGACTGGAGCCAGAGTAGTATGGATCCAGCAAAGCAAACCGTGGCTGCAGAGGGTGTTAGCATGTTCATGGAAGAGATGGGCTCGCTCATGGGTCGAACATCCCCAGACGAGGAGGATGACCACGACAATCATGACAAGAAAGATGACTCATGCGTACGTTCTAGCAGTGGGCTTCCGTTCATTGGGGATATCTTCAAAACGATTTCGTGCGTTGTTGGCATGGCGTCAGACATTAGTCATACGTTTGGTATGTTGATCAAGGGGGCAATGGACGTTCATACAGCAATTTCGACATCCGCTGTCCAGATGGCGGCTATTGTTGATGTGATCAAGTTTATGGCGAATCCATCCTTGAACACACGGGCAGCCACCCCACCACCTTCGCTTCCTTCTACAAGCAATGGGCCACATGTTACTGAATCTACAATTGAACTCACCTCAATCCCATTTCTGACGACTCAACCAAACTCCTGGCCTTTGCCGTCACTAAGTCCATTGCCATCAACCCGCATGCTCCTGTCAAGCTCCGATGCATTGACTGATGCTTCCCGCTCCAGCACTTCGGTATCTTCTAGTGTCTCTAGTACCATGGCTTGCGCTTTGCCAACTTCAATCGTTAGCGCCTTACCAGGAAAATTGTATACGAAGAAGCCCTTCTGTCCTCGGTTTCAGCTTTGCGCATTGTCCTGCATAGCATGCCTTCAGGATATCTATGTAGAGAGTATGGAAGGATATGGTGGAAATGCGGTCGACGGCGCATACAACAGGTCGGATAACCTCGACTCGGCAATTTTGGCACAGCTCGACCACCCGGACAGTACTACAGAACAAGGCATTGACACCTTCATGCGTTCGAAATTTGCTGAAGCGAAGCGTAAATGGCAAATGGATAACAAAAATCTGGTCTTTGTTCCTCATGGGAGTAGTGTTGAGACGATGTACGGCGTTTCATCCGCTCTTTTCCGTACATACGACCATGAAAAGATGGTCTTGGGACTAGTGGATTTGTACGGATGCACGTCTGTATTAGTCGTGTCAAAGGCTGCAGTCTGGTGGTCCCACTTTTGGGAAAACCCTGTCTTTCTCACTTATGTCAATTGGAGATACCCGGAGCAAGGGGTGTACAATACCTGGGATGATCATGTAGATGATGAGGAGGAAGGCGAACGGAGTGCCTTTCGGGCTGATGTGCTCGACGTTCTGGAGTCAAGGAGCAACTGCTATATGAACGAGGAACCAAAGAGCTTTTTGGGGTTGGCATGTCACGTCGACAAGGCCTTCGCGCAAGGCGAAGAGCCAAGAGTCATTATCATCACGCCTGAGTCTGAAGACGGTTCAAAGCTAGAGTACCCGGAGCATATCAACGCCATCCGAAGCGTCCTGAAGGACAGTGTCTTCAAAGACGTGGGTGAATATGATGATAACCATGTGGTAGTTGTGGCATACAACCGCGAACACGGTAAGGATCAACACGCGAAACCGCCCCATGAAGGAGGCGACCCAGAAAAGTATTCATGGTTGAATGGCAAGTTCATGCTACAGTTCGATCCGCAGCATGAGCCAGACAAGGCTGCATTGGAATTATGGGCCGAACAGAGTTCGCAGCCCGTTTTCTCCACTCAATGGGCATCCCATCAGACTGTGGGCTTCACAACGACAAACCCACCGTCAAGTACGCCGAGTTCTATTCATACAACTGGCCCGTCTTCCTTCACAACGATCGCAACTTCGCTAGCTCCAAGTGTGCCAAGACCAGGTATCAGTGGAATCGCAGGGTGCGCCTACGTGATTGCAGCGAATGGACAACGCTGTGTCGAGGACTATTGCAACTGCGGAGGTACCGTGGCACCCTTGTTGACCATGACCGTAGGCAGCACCCTGGAACTCAACTGCGAATACTCAACCCAACCAAGCTGGAACCGCTGTCCAGGCGACCCAACGGGGTCCCCAAAGTCTACGTCTGCATCGCCGCTACCATCGCTTACCACACCGTCTCCAACGCCTAGTCCACTTTATGAACAGGGTATTTGCAGGCTGCATATCAAGGAGTGGACTAGAAGTGATGGGTCTGCTGAGTTGAGTCTGGTTGTGTTCGACAACAACAGCCATGCTCCACTTTCTTACAGTCATTACGATGCTGTGCGGTTCGGTGATATTGCCGTGATCGAAGGCAGTGAAGCGATATTAGGCTATCCAATTGAGGTCCACTTGGGCAACCCGGCATTGTATGAGAATGTGCATGACTCTCTTGATATAGTCATCACTTTTGGCGACGTCGCGACCGTGTCTTTCCGAGATCAGGATGCGTCGAAGTACCCGCACTGCAATGTTGGAGGGTGGGATCGGGGCGGTATCTTTAATTTCGAATTGCCCGTAAGCTCATCAACGAGATCTCGTGCTTGAATTGAATACGAAAGTGTACTGATCATGTGTAGAATCGTCAAGCAGACTGCTTCTGGGCGTGTTGAGCGGCGGAGTTGATCGGTCAGGCGGGGTTCACCACGGCGAGTGAGCGCGCGGAGGATCAGGCCCATGTAGTCGTAATCGTAGTCGTAGTCACCGAAGCGTAGTTTCCGTTTCGAAGACGATTAATGATGAAGTTTGTGGTAGTCAAGTGTTCCATGACTGAGACGTGGGTGAAGGCGCCAGTCGCGTGCTGTTTCCGGCAATAAGAGTGACAGGGATGGTGGGTGCGGCGAGAAGCCGCGGAAGCCGTCACGACGCGCGGGAGGGCTGCTTGTGTACGTATCTGTCCAGTTGGCAGCCCATCATCGCGCAACTGCGCCTCGCAACCAAGAATCTGTTGCATTCCCCTGCATTGTTTCCCAGCTATTTCTACGCTTTCACAGCAACGTTTGCGCGCCGGTTACGCCTACGCCACCACGGCGCATCGACTGTTTCAGACTGCCAAGCGTCATCGGGGCTGCCATTGCATAGCTTCGAGGCTGTGATTGTTCCCGCAGCCAGCTGTTCTTTCGCTTTGCGCATACACCAGACCCCATCACACACGTTTACGCTCGCCTCTATGCAACCATGAAATACAACAAGGGCCTCCTGCTGCCCGCCCTGCTGGCACTAGCATCCACTGCCGCCGCGAAGAAAGAGGATCCGCTCGTTGCGGTGACGCCATTCAAGAATGACCTCGTCAACCTCATGTACTTTGACGATTCCGGCGTCGCCTTGCTCCAGGAACTCGAGACGGGGAGCATCTGGCGGTCGCAAGATGCCGGCAAGGGCTGGGGCAAGATTGACGAGCTGCGCGGATTGGGCATAATCAAGAGTCCGTATGACAACAAGGTCGCGTTGGTCCTAGGCGAGAAGAAGCATTGGATCACGTACGACCGGGGAGACAACTGGGACAGCTTTGAGACGGAGCTTCCGCCGTCGCCGCAAGTGCCGGTCAACTGGCATGCGCAGGACAACAAGAAGATCATGATCCACGAGATTGAGAACTGCTTCACTGCGCCATGTCTTGGACGAGTATGTGTTCTGTGCGCTTTGTAGCAATTCAGCGACTGACCCCAACCAGACATACTACACAACCGACGGCTTCAAGTCAGAGCCCAAGGTCCTCGTTGACGACCGCCGAATGTGCCAGTGGGCCAAGGGCGCCGAGCGCTTCCTCGAAGGCAAGGAGAAGCACGACGACCGGATACTGTGCATCACAAGAGGCAAATACTCGGACAGGTCAAAGGACTTCAGGCTCCTGATATCCGACGAGTGAGTGGCGAGAGGCTAAAACCGCAGGCAACAGCTAACAGGCGCAGTTACTTCAAGAACGAGGAGGAGCCCGTCATGTCCTCCGGCCGGACCGTCCAGGGCATGGCCAACATGGCTGCTGTCAAGGGCTACATCGTCGCCGCCGCCAAAGCCGAGCACTCGAGCGAGCTCGCCCTCTACGTAACCCAGGACACCGAGACATGGCACCATGCCCAGTTTGGCGACCACAAGATTGAGGAAAACGCATACACCATCCTCGAATCAACCAACTACAGCATACAGGTCGACGTTACGACCTCCAAGTTCGTCGACATGGGCAACCTCTACACGAGTAATTCAAACGGAACCCACTTCACCAAAAACGTCGAACACACGAACCGCAACGAGGGTGGCTACGTCGATTTCGAGAAGATCGCCAACATACAGGGTGTCGTTCTGGTCAATACTGTGGATAACTGGAAGGAGGTGGAAAGGTCAGGCCGGGGCAAGAAGCTCAAGTCGCGCATCAGTTTCGATGACGGCAGGTCGTTCGAGAAGCTCACAGTCAAGGGCAAGGACACCGAGTTACACCTACACTCTGTAACCAACCTGCACAACAGCGGGAGGGTCTTTTCGAGCCCAGCACCTGGTATTGTTATGGGCGTTGGAAACACTGGAGAGTACCTGGGCAAATACACCGACGGCGATCTTTACGTCTCCGACGATGCTGGTCTCACTTGGGAGTTGGCTCTAGAGGAGGCTCACAAGTACGAGTTCGGCGACCAGGGCTCCGTTCTGGTAGCCGTATTTGACGAGGGCGACACCGACGAGATCAGGTACTCATTCAAGCACGGACGAAAGGATACCTGGCAGAAGATCAAGCTTGACTACAAGATCCGCGCACGCGAACTCACGACCCTACCTGACTCGACGAGCTTGAAGTTCATGCTGTACGCATCCAAGAAGAAGAAGGAAGGTGGCGGCCGAGAACATGTCATTATCCACCTCGACTTTACTGATATGATGAAGAAGTGCGGCGACAGCGACTTTGATGACGAATGGTCTGTGCGCAAAGACGCGGACGGTGACCCGAGCTGTGTCATGGGCCACAAGCAGTTATTCCGCAGGCGCAAGTGGGACGCTGAGTGCTTCGTTGGTGAGGTCTTCAAAGACCCTACACCAAGCTTCAAGCCATGCGATTGCGATCAGTACAGAGACTACGAATGCGATTTCGGTTTCACACCCACTGGAGAAGGCAAGGAGAAAAAGTGCGAGCCTGACAACACATTCCGCCTACCGAGCGGCGCTTGTGAGGGTGACGCGAAGACATACAAGGGTAAGTCGGGGTGGAGGAAGATACCCGGCGACCAATGCAAGGGCGAAACGGATAGAGACAAGGAAGTTGAGCGCGAATGCGACGACGCAGAGAAGCCACCACCAAAGAGTGATAAGATTACCAGCGAGATCACCAGGTTCAAGGGAGGCGAATTCTTGGAGCAATACTACCTCGAGGGTAACACCCAGAGTGACCCTGAGGGTAATGACCGGGACAAGGACGAAACAGTCGTTATGTTGACCGATGAGCGAACGGCTTACATCACTCACGACCATGGAAAGAAGTGGAAGAAGGCCGTTGATGATGAGGTCGTTCGGATCTATCCTCATCAGTACGACAACAACAGGGTCTACTTCCTGACCGCCGGCAAGAAGTTTTACTACTCTACAGATCGTGGACGTCATGACAGCATTCGCTCTCACCAGGCACCCGTCATGCCCAACAAGGAAAGGCTACAGATCATGCAGTTCCATCCCAAACAGCAGGATTGGATCATCTGGATGGGCGGAAAGAACTGCGACAAGCTTGGTGACAAAGACTGTCACACAGTAGCCTACGTCTCACAGAAGAATGGTGAAGAGGAAAGCTGGGACCCGCTTGTACCTTATGTCAAGAAGTGTGCCTTCGTATGGCGCGAGGCCGGTCGAAGTGTCAAGGAGGAGCAGGTGTTCTGCGAGCAACACACAAACGAGGAGATGAGCGCTCCACTTGAACTCATTTCCAGCGAAGACTGGTTCAAGAAGAAGGATGTCAAGTTCAAGTCTGTTGTAGAATTCGCGACCATGTCCGAGTTCATCGTTGTCGCAACAAAAGCCGATGATGGCACCCTCCACCTGGATGCCAGTCTCGACGCCAACACCTTCGCCGATGCCAAGTTCCCTCCTAAGTTCTTCGACGTCCACCAGACTGCCTACACAGTTCTCGATAGCTCCACCCATGCAGTCTTCCTCCACGTGACAGTCAACCCGGCACAGGACCAGGAGTATGGCTCTATCATCAAGAGCAACAGCAACGGCACGTCTTACGTGATGAGTCTAAGCGCCGTCAACCGGAACACAGAAGGCTATGTCGATTTTGAGAAGATGCAAGGTCTCGAGGGAGTTGCTGTCGCCAACGTCATTGTCAACGTCGATGAGGTCAACAAGGGATCCAAGAAGAAGAAGCAAAGTCGTATCACACACAACGACGGCGCGGACTGGGAAGCTCTGCAAGCACCCGAGAAGGACTCGGAAGGCAAGGCATATGACTGTGACGTTTCGGATAAGAACAAGTGCGGTCTACACATCCATGGATACACCGAACGCGCCGATGCTCGGGAGATGTACTCTTCCCCGACAGCAGTTGGATTGATGCTTGCTGTCGGTAACGTGGGCTCAGAGCTGACCACCTTTGGCGAAGCTAATACGTTCATGACGACCGACGCAGGCATTACCTGGACAGAAATCAAGAAGGGCACCTACGCCTGGGAGTTTGGCGACCAAGGTTCCGTCATCGTCATTGTCCGCCGTGGAGAAGACACCGATCACGTCTACTACTCGCTTGACAGCGGTGCGAAGTGGAACCTATACCAGTTCTCCGATCACAAAATGCGCGTGGAAGCCATCACCACTGTACCTAGCGACACTTCTCTAAACTTCCTCCTTTGGGGCAAGGATAGCAAGGAACTTGTTGCGGTCAATCTTGACTTCTCCGGTCTACCAGAATTCAGCAAGCCTTGTGAGCTCGACGAAGAGCATCCCACAAGCGGTGATTATGACCTCTGGACCCCACAACATCCTCTACAGCAAGAAGAGCCACAATGTCTTTTCGGCCACGTAGCGCAATACCACCGCAAAAAGAGGGACGCTAAATGCAAGAACGGCCAGCGTATCGACAAGATGCACAAGATTGCCCGAAACTGCTCCTGCACCAGACGGGACTTTGAATGGTAACACCCACTTCTCACTTTTAACAGGCGACATGAGTTAACATTCAACAGTGCATACAACTACGAACGCGATGCAAGCGGCGACTGCAAGCCTGTTGCCGGTCTCGAACTCCCTGAAGCCTCAGCCGTATGCAAAGACAAGAATGTGAAAGAGTACTACACGGACGTCCGATTCCGCAAGATCCCCCTCTCTACCTGCGAAGGCGGCCGAGAGCTCGACAAGACGGGTGACGTGCAGCCTTGCCCTGGCTTCGAAGAAGACTTCCAGAAGAAGCACGGCATCGGTGGCTTCTCGCTCTTCTTGGCCATCGTCCTTCCTTTTGCTGCCGCAGGTGGTATCGGATATTATGTGTGGAAGCACTGGGACGGCAAGTTCGGTCGCATTCGCCTCGGCGATGGCAATGGAGGTGGAGCGTTCGACTCGGACCAACCATGGGTCAAGTATCCCATCGTCGCTGTATCAGGCCTTGTGGCTGTCGTCAGTGCGCTACCCCTACTCGTGGGCAGTGTGTGGCGATGGGCGGCTGGCAGAATGGGTGGCGGAGGTGGCTACGGGGGATACGGCAGGACGTATACTTCTAGAAGCAGTTTTGCGCGTGGCAGGGGTGACTACGCGGTTGTCGATCCCGACGAAGGAGAGCTGCTGGGCGATGAGAGTGACGAGGAAGTATAGAGGTCCTGTTATTAGATGATTAAGATGGACATGGGAGACTTGGTATTGGTCATGGTCATGGTTATGCTAGTTGGTTGAAACGATGGGTTTGGGGAGGTGCAGGGTACGATAGGATCGAGTTTTTACATTCTTTGTATCAATCGAGCTGTTTGATGGCTATGTAAATGTAACGCGATATTCTCTTTCTGAAAAAACTACGCATGTTGTTGTAATGTCAGCTGGAGAGTGCGCAGAAACTCCTGCACAGGCAGAGCTGCATACCCTGCTTTGGCGGGTTTACGGGTGGCTAAAGCTTATCGCTTTCGCGTCTGTCAAGATGCTGTGCGTCATGAAGAGAGTTTAGTGTGCATCGCGTAGAATTCTCTACCCCAGCCGTTGGGCAGATAGAGTAACGGTGCGGTCTTCCGTGGTGCATCGATAATCTAAAGTCCGACATAGAACACCCCAACCACGACCATGCTGCTCCACAGTAAAGATCGGAAAATTTGACATTCCCTACCAGTGTTCGCCAAAATCCACATGGTTTCTGCATCGTTGGCTGAGGTAGATTGGATCCTGTAGATCTCCATCTAGTGGCGCGATGGAAACTTCCCCATCCATCTCCAAGCGAGGGATTGGTAGTGTGGTTTCAAGCGCCGCGCCTAATCCCGACTTGTGTGGCCATGATTCGAAGACCAAGCCACGATGCGGCGCACATAGATTGAGGGTCTCAGTGGTCGTCGTCCTGCGACCAGGGCATCCAAACCAATCTGCTGGGCCTTGCTGGACGTGAGGCGCAATTGTTGTCCATGGGCCAAAAGTAGGCCGCGAATCAAACATTGTCATCTTGTTTGTTTCTGACAGCTTTATGCCTCCTTCTTTGACAGGTGAGACTGCTCTTTACAGGTCATGGTTGTTTATGCCGCAGTTCTTGTTGTTCAGGCTGAAGTGGTCTTGTAATTGGTGGTGCGTGGGTGGTGTTTCTTATGCGTGCTATATCTGACATCTCGAAACAGACCCTCGGGTGGTACGAGTCGAGGACGAAACGTTGGGGATCTGGACGCTGTGTTCAAGGCACTACGGCAAGGGCGCACGTCGTGAAGACGCTTCTGCCAGTACTCGGGGTGTGTGGCTACTGCATGGGACGTAGTTATGCACACAGACGCGGTACAATGTGCAGTGTGAAGATTCGTCTGTTCCCAGTCACCGGGTGTGTAACGCCATCAGTTCGTACGAGTCCCCTTAATAAACATTGAAACGCCCCATTCGGATTTGTGGCTCTGGGTGTTTAGTTTCCGGATGGTGGACGGCTTGACACATTGCGGAGAGAGACCATTGTGTCGCGTCAAACTATGCACTCTCGACGGTGGCGACTGGATGCAGAGAGAGGAAAAGCCGTTGCGGTGCCGAGTGGCTCAGGCATTGACGCGTTCATAGGACGCCACGGCTCTGCTGGCGGTCGTGCATGATCTTTGGACGCGCAGACGGGCCCCTTGGCCGTGCGGACTGTTGTCTGGATTTTCTTGCGTTGAGTGCAGGTTCATGCATTATGTGGGGATTGGCCCTGGGCGCTTGCCTGGTTTGGGTTGTGACGCAGGCCCACGCTGTTTCAGAAGCGGACAGCCAATCAAGCTCGAGACGGCTAAGGCTGCTCCTTCCCTCTGTGTCAGTCAAACTACCAACGCGGCAGGGGCGAGTGTTTGCATTCAATTTCCGCATCTCCCATTTCAGCAACTCGAAAGCCCGGGAACGGTATTGTGCGACCAACAACGGATTGGTGCGCCCGAATAATTGAATGTTGGCCGTGCAATACATTGTCGGCTATTGGCCAGTCGTCGCTCTACCACGAACAATCTCCCGAGGCGCCCCAATCGTGCGTCGAGGGTCCCTAGGGCCCGCCCTACCCCTGGTTAGCGATTTGATGCAGACCGTCGCGGCTTGGCTACCGGCGCGCAGTAGTGAATTGGGCCTGGTAGCTCGCGGGAACAAGCCCACAGCCAAGCCGTTTCACATGCGGAGGCTCCAACGATGAGCTTGGTGATTATGGCCTGGACACTTGCGAAGCGAGTACATGAGGCCGTCTCGTCCGCCTGGGCAGGTTCCCATCACTCCTTCCCAACGGTCCTGGTCCTTCTTTGCTCCAACAACCCCACATTCGCTTCCATTCATTAGGAGTGCTCTGTCTCTCTCTTCAACACTCACTTTTTTCGTCTCTCACTCACTTTGCTTCCCTTCACCACCCTCCCTTTCTTCTTCTCGCGTGCTGGCACGTCTTGGCCGATACGCCTTCCTCCTCAGACACGTCCTGCCTGATACACGACTCCGTCGCACCTGCACGTTGATGTGAGTACCCTAGCTTTTGCCAACCCAAGGCTGCTGCACATTGTGTGCCTGCCCTACCCCAATCTGCCATATACCTCGACCCCACACAGCGCTATTATAGCCCTTTTGTATGCTTGTCTCAAAAGGCGTAGCCCCAACACCGCTTATGTTCACGGTTATAAACCGACAAAGACGGTCGCTGGTCCACCGCTTCACTAGTCGTTTGTTCACAGCAGGCCTGTCACTGACTTGCAACTTGTAGCGTCCCTTCCACATTCATTGCCAGTGACTACCAGGCTCGCCCCACCTTCGTTTCTACTCCTCCAACAACTTTTTACCGGACCGGATCCTTACCGTAATCAACATGAAGTCTTTCTTCGCTATCGCCGCCGGTCTCCTGGCCGCCAGTGCCTCCGTCTTTGCAGCTTCTGGACCCAGCAACCCCGGCTACATCAGCAAATACTCTCTACCCGCGAACCACTCCACGGAGACGAAGGAGTACATCGTCACTTGGTGGCGTAACGACACGGACGCCAGAAAGATTGACGACTATGTGGACCTCCTGCAGCTCAGCAAGACGGACAGTGTTCAGGCTGTATCTTCAGAGGGTGTCAACCCCCAGTGGGCCGTTATCATAATGTGCGCCGAGCACGCCAAGATCTTCGCCGACATGGCAGAGATCAACGTCGTCGAAGAGAAGGCCGACGTTAAGTCCTTCGCGGAACAACAAGGCGCTCCCTGGGGTCTGCAGCGAGTCTCGAGCGCAGCCGGCGCTAAGGGATCCCCTCAGGACCAAGATTTTGTCTACTCTTTCGACGATTCAGCTCTCGGTGCCGGAGTCGATATCTATGTCATTGACACTGGTGTGCGCACTTCCCACGCTGTGTTCACCGGACGCGCTTCTGAAGGTTTCACCGCTACTGGTTCTTTCGTTGACGGTGATGGTCACGGCACTCACGTTGCTGGTACCGCCGGTGGCGCTAAGTTCGGTGTTGCTCAAGGCGCCAACATCATCGAAGTCAAGGTTCTTGGAGACGACGGCTCTGGTGCGTCTTCTGACACCATCAAGGGTATGGACTGGGTCATTGCCAACCACAACAAGCGCAAGGCACAGCCAGGCTTCGTCGGCTCCATCATGAGCATGTCCTGGGGTCTTCAGGGTACCGCCAACTCAGTCGATGAGATTATCCAAGGTGCTTCAGACGCTGGCATTCACGTTTCAGTTGCCGCTGGTAACGACGGTGTTGACGCTTGCGGCAGCACTCCTGCTCACCTTGGTGGCAAGAACTCCAACGTCGTCACTGTCGGCTCCGTCAACATCGACAACGAGATCTCTACCTTCTCCAACATCGGTCAGTGCGTAGACATCTACGCTCCCGGTGAGCAGATTCTCAGCTCATGGGCCACTGGCGACGCTGTCATCAACTTCCTCTCTGGTACCTCCATGGCTTGCCCTCACGTCACTGGTGTCATGGCCACTCTCATGACCAAAGATGTTGCTGGACTTGGTCAGAACCCTGCTGCGCTCAAGGCCAAGCTCCTCGAGACTGCCCGCCAGGGTGACGTCAAGGGTAACACTGCAGGAAGCGCAAACCTACTCCTCAGCAACGGTGTTGATGGCAACGTTGCCAGGCGTCTTACCAAGAACTATGTCGTGCCAGACCACAGCGGTCTGAACGGTAGCCCAGCTGCCCGCGCCGCCGCTGCTGTCATCGCTAAGGACATCACCCTTGACAAGCGCTTCCAGCTTCACTCCCGGGAAGCCAAGCTTCGATTCTAGAGCAAGCAAGAGAGCATCACATGAGAGCATAGCGATTGCATGATACCCCTCATCGTTGGTACTTCTTGAGAAAAGTTACCGCGGCATTTCTGTCTCATCTTTGGGCTCTTCTAGCTGCCCCATAATAATCCAATGTACCTGCTTCAGCACGGACTGGTCTCTTTTTTTGTCATCAAGTGGGGAGTGTGTCGGATCTTAATTTCGCTGTCAATACTTTTATTCATCGCATTGACCGGCTGGGGTGAAGAAGGGCATTGGGTATTGGCTGTGTACGAAGTGATCCTGCTATGAACGATCTCATGCGCAGCCGCACCGGTGGGCTTCTAGCAGTATGTACTACATAGACGAATCTAGTCATTGTACATACCAACTTTTGCAGCTTTCCCAACTCTGCATCTGACAAATCTGTGAAGAATAGCGCATGTGGCTGTGACTACCATGATCTAACATAGTACTTCGCGCTCATCGCGCGGACAACGACAAGCGCACTTTAGCATTACAAGGCGAACTCGTGTAGATGCCTGTAGACATTGACTCCACAGCCATCTGAAGCATCTATGCACCGCCACTCTGCCAAGCTGGCGGAAAGCGTTACAGGCTGCAGATAAAATACTCGCCTACCAGGCCGCCTGTCTGACATCCCCGATGCTGGACGTTGATCATACGGCAGATTCTGATAGTGTCTTGGCCAAGTCAGTGCGGCAAATGCAAGCGATGTTGGTCCATGCGGCTGTGTGCAACCTTGCGGTCAATCAGACAGTCGCGTAGTTAGAGTCGGAAGACTGGAACGGACATGGTCTAGACAATTCCGAGGTTTTTCTGGAAGCATACAGAAAGCGCTCTTTGAAACATCAGTAACCAGCAAGATCGGGTTGAGATCGCGCGACTTCTGGATCAGACCCCTGGGGTCTCAAAGTGGACTAGCGCATCATTTGAGGGCATTACGGGCCAACTCTCGCAACTCCTTGTGACCCCATCCAACCTGTCTACAACATCACAGTCTTGATTTAAACACAACGATCGATGTCTCAGCTCTGAAATAAGAGTGAGTCACTCCTCCGTCCCGTATCAACATGCCATGTCGATGGTCTGACTTTCTCCCGATCTCGCGACGTCGCAACGGCCCGAAATGGCTAGTGGAGTCCTGCCCGTCTCGAGTGCGCTTGTCCATCGCAACTCGACTGTTCATGTGGCAAGTAGGTCTCTCAGGTGAATTATCACGCCTATTCACAGTATGGTCCCTGGAGACCTTGAAGATGGAACAGCTGCGCCTGGGTGTACATGCACGTTAGCGCCGACATCGCGCTTGCAGTCTTCTAGGCGCCGAAGTTCCTCAAAACACCATGCCAAGCATCCCCGGACAACGTGGAGAGCTAAAAATGGTGCACTAGTTACGAGCTCGGCTTTCGACGCCCAGTGTGTCGAGATCCAGGCGCCAGGAACACCATTCGTCGTTTGCTCGATATCCGTTATTCGTTGCACCACTCGCCAAGCATCGTAGATCAACTGTGCCACCTTCAGGTTGAGCGTTGAAGATGCTTTACTGCGCTTTGTAGCAGACTTCATAGTATTAAAGAGATGATGCTTCCCGCTGTGTAGAATTCCGAGCAAGCACATCTACTCGTAATCTTCATTAGCGATTGTTAACCAGCCATGTCTTTTGAGCTAGATTCGCGATATGTTAAGACAGGTGCATGGTAGGTATCTCGATCGTAGCGCTTCGTGTCGTCTCTCGATAGTTACTGACAGGACACTATAGGACAAATGTGGATGGCGGGCCCATTCTAGGAAGAACAATCACAACCGATACTCAGACCGGTAACCTCGTAGTTGCCTTACTAGCCATACTTTCAACACTCGGTAAGGTAATCAGCCCAACTACCAAATTCAAGTTCTGATAGTGACAGGTACCGCACACCTGTGGCATCTGATCGCTTTCGCGATCCATCAAATCCGAGCCAATGGCCAGGAAGCAGATCCACTCTTCAGACAGCAACAAGCGTTACTGCGAACGCTCCCAACGCCCAGCTCTGTAGTTGCGGAAGCACTAAAGCTATGGTGGGCTTGGAGAAGAAAAGCAGACCGGCCGTTCCTTCGATCAGTGTTCTTGGTACTCATTGCAGTTGTTTTCACGACTATGACAATCGCAGCCTCAGTGTTCTCCTCGCTCATAGTCGATACTGGAGTTGTTGAGGTACTGGTCGACTCCCCCTTCTGTGGAAGCACGAACCTCATCGGAACGGCATGGCGGACACATGCGAACGAACTCGATATAATTGCTCCAGCGTATACACAGGACTGTTACAGTAACGGATCACTTCCTGTGACGTGTAACGTCTTCACGAAGCCCAATGTCCCACTCACAGTCGAAGATGTGCCTTGTCCATTCAACGATACCATGTGCGATACCGACGCCGTTCGTGTCGATTCTGGCCTGGTAGACGTAGGCAAAGCCTTCGGGTTAAACTTGCCCGCCAAGGATCGCGTTACCTTTCGAAAGAAGATTGAATGCACTGTCTTACCGGTTGACGGATACTACGATGTCATTGACCTGAAAGACATGCCCATTTGGAAACCGAACTTCCGGGAGATATTTCCAGGCGAACAAGTTGCAGCTATCTTCTATGGACCCACGCCCCCTCTTGATACTGGCGAGAGCTTCCTTGCCTATCTGGTCTCGTCCAACGTTAGTGGCAATCCAAAAGTTCCGCGGTAAGTCATCGCAACAACGCGCCGATCACATTGCTTACTAACCTATCTATCAAAGAGGCGGCATGTTCTACGCCGGACCAAATAACACAATCCTTCCTACCTGGTTTCCGAAAGACAGCTTCTACCCTTTAAGTGCTGAAGGACCAGAAGGCGATGTATTCTGGAAGCCCTTCTTGCCAAACTCTCTCGAGTTCGAGGAACCTGTCGACGACCCCCTATACTCAGCACATAAAGAAGTGAAGAAGGTCGATGCAGCCAATGGTGAACCCTTCTCGCAATATCTAGCGGATCATCCGATCAAGGGTGTGGGGTGTACGCAGCATGTGAGCGAACCATCCAAACCTATGAGGAAGCTATTGCTAACAATTGCTCAGCTCCAATATTGCCATGCCAGAGACGGTCAAGATGACTGGTGTACCCCATTTGAAGGTGTTCCCTACCACACGTTCCGCGACTTCGATTTCCCAGAAGCGAACAGCGTTCAACGAGCTGTGCTGCAATTAATCGTCAAAGCGGTCTGGCTACATGCTACCGTCAATGTCATGTCATGCAAAGTGACCACCATGATGTCTCGAGGAGATTTTGATATTCCGTCCGTACCTAATGGTTTCTGGAAACAAGAAGTATTGGGATGGGAACAAGAGGTCTGGGCGGCGATGCAAATCCAGGTCTCACAGCACGCGAGTGGACCTAAATTTGGCGACCCGTTCAAAGACAACGTCTTTCTCAAACCAGAGACAGAAGGCGAAAAAGCTCTCTGTGGAGCTCAGAAGATGAGAAAGTCTGGTGGATTTGTGTAAGTACACTCACTTGCTTCTGCAGCACCTGAGACTCCTGCTAACTCATACCAGTAACATCAACGTCTTCGGTCTCTCGTTCATCATAGCCTTCTCCGTCCTCGTCGCCATTATCGACATCACACTCCTCAAATTCCTTGTCTACCTCACCCGCTTCCGCCGCGCACTCGGTCCTCGCATCGCACGCTGGACACAAGATGGAGTATGGCAGTTGCAACGCCGAGCCTACGAGGGCGAAGGCCACCGGAATTGGACTGATCTGGAAAGCGAAATCCCGCTCATGGAGAAGGGTCATAAGCTCAAGGATCTTCCGATCATGTGGAGGCCTGGCAAGAGTCCGATGATGGCGCAGACGTCTTCCTTCGCTTCGACGAATTCGATAGTGTCGGAGCAGCAGTCGGTAAGCGAGTTAGCGGCGGAGGATGTAGAGACTGCGCCGGCTGTCACTGAGCCGCGGAGGGGCTGGTTCAGCTTCGCGCGACGTTAATTCTTGGAGTTTGGGTGCAAGCGCCCGAGGTTTATCATGACTTCATGATCCAATTTGAACATCTTCTAGCTAATTACTCAAAGATATTTTTCTCCAACCTTCGGTTTCGTGACAGGTTTCGATGAAAGTGAACAATGCTTTTCCCCTTCAAACATATCACCCTCCGTGACGCCCCACTGGACAGGTCGCAGCTGCGGATTGATGTCGTCTGGCGGTGGATGGCAAGCCGCACTGATGACTGAACTACACGACGCTGCGAAGGGTATCCGGACCCTCATCTGTTTCCTCCCGATCCACGTTACAGATCCTACAAGGGCGTAAAAGCAGAGAATGAAAGTTATGAAGCTCGTTGTTGAGATTCCGATTGCCGACACAGACGTGTCCATGATCTTGCCCTCCCGATCGTAGGCGTCCTCGCGAACGATAAAGATGCTCTCGGACAGTAGCCAGTGTAGACCACTGCTCGCTACCGCTAACGGGATCGACCAGCGATATGGTAGCTGTAGGAAGTACTCCTCGCGTTGATCTCCAAGTGGGCGAGTCACACGTAGACCTTTACGTGAAACGGCTAGATTGTTCCACTCGACCGCTCCAGCCATTGCAGTGCATTGGCTATTAATTGCAAGATAGCAAAAGGAGAGCACTAGCTGAGCGATATTGGCAAGCCACGCGTTGAGAATTGTAGCTTGAGCGGTGGCGGGGCTCCTGCGAATCGCAATTCCACTTGATGGCCCCCATCCATGATTTGTGATTCCCAAAGTCGAGAGTAGTACCAGTAAACCGTAGAAGAAAGCACAGTTAATCACAAAGCTAGTGTAACGTTAGCATGGTCGTCGTGTGCTCACAGTCTCAGGTTGGCTTACATGGCATATGAAATATATACTTGATCTCTGTCCAATGCAGCTGAATACCGAATTCGCCGTTTGGCCCAGAAGTTACCACATCTACGAAGTATGATAGCAAACAAATCTTGGTCTTCTTTTGAGGTGTCTGCAACATCCCCAACTCTTGCGATGACTTCGTGTATGGTTGATACGCACATGCTTCTGGTTGTTGAGTCGGGGTGTGCTAGGAACGAGGCGGCTCCATCTCCAACCGTAACGACATAGTCGAGGTTTTCCATGAAAGCCACCCATAACATTGTGAACAACTTCACAATGTTACAGACGATCACTATAGCGATAAAACATAGGCTCAACTCAATGCGGCTAGATGTTTTGACGTGATATTCTGCAAATCCGTGTGTGCAACGAGCCCACAAGCGGCTGTCGCCCGGAGAGACAGCGATCGTCTCATTGACCGAGATATAAGCCCAGGGCTCACTGAGAACCCAGTGGATATATGGATCTGTAGACTCTGACTGGAAGGGCCAGGACACGTTCGGGTTCCGTCTGAATGTAGGTGTACGAAGTCAGCATATGTCTCTCATACATTTCATGTAAATACGCTTACAGTGCTCCAGGACCCCCTTTTGGCCAGCCATTCGAACCTATTTCTTCAAGACTCCCATGGAAGAAGCCATCGGTTGCAAGGTATAGATCTCCATACTCATGGTACATAGACCCCGTACCGTATGCATACTGTATTCTGCTGTTACTGAGTGTTACATTACGATCGTTGCTGGTGACTCCTTCTGTTTGACGTCTCAAATTCTCGTACTCAGCAGAGTCCGTTGGCAGCACGAAGAAGGCGTAATCCCTGTTATCGGCGCCGATATAGAAAATAGCAGAGTTGTAGCTAAGACTAGTAAGCCACAAGTACGACTTAATCCAAAGCCGACAAAAACCTACAATAAGTGTATGGGTATAGAGGAGAATACCAGAATGACGCTCAGAACTCTTCGTCTTTTTGGGATAAAGCCAAAGTTGCGAACGCTAAGAACACCGATGTCAAGCCAATGATGTGCAGCATGAGCGCGATCAATGTCTCCCCTTGTCGGCGAGCTTAGCACCTGCATGGTGTAGTTGGAGGCAGCTAAAAGAATTGTACTGAGGGCATTGATAACGATGTGAATCGTGCTAGACCACCAGGACATTTCGTCTACGCTTCCAGTTGATAGCACTGTAAAGTCGTTTTCATAGCCATTTCGTAGTGAACCAAATATCAACAAACCAATGTTGCAGCAAAGAACAAGCGACGAGGCGAAAGAGCCTATCAAAACACCCATGCGCCAACCATGAAATCGGCTGTTTAGGATGGCGTGTTTGAGTCGATGACTGAGCCACTGAAACGGCAAGAGTATGTGACTGATGACTGGAAGTTTCCACAGAGCCTGGATGAAGATGCTGATCTGCTGCAGCCTTTGACTGGACCGATCATCGTCCGCTTCTGAAGTGATCGATGGCGCTACCGATGAGCATGAGCATCTGGAATCTCGAACTGTGAATAAGCTGTGAGTGTCTAAATTGGCTGACCGATTTAGCCTATATACCGGTAAGCTATCTTGAAATACAAGCAAGGCATTCACATAGTACTCACGGATATTCTGTCAGTTCCGTACCCATGCCGGCGGCATCTCCATCGAGCGGATAACGTATCATTTCGGACTCCATTTGTAAGATATGATGTGATAGGTGCTGCGTTGTGATCTTGAAATGAATCTATATCACTTAACAGCCTTCGATCGCTTGCTTTCAAGGTAGCCGCAGATCTCGTGGGGGCGGACTGACGATCTTATGCTGACGATATAGCTTCTAGCCTTGAGGCTCGACTGGGAGACAAGAAAGCGGTTTGCTTCGTGACATGGACTTTGAGACATGACTGCATGATCGAGATGCCGCACGCCGGGCTTTAGTACCTTCGAAATCTCCCGCAGCTACATCGGTGAGAAGCCTGGAGCATCGCTGAGTTGGAAATGATGTGCCATTCTTCGGGTTTGGAGTGGCTGTGTTTGGCCCGAGATCAGGGTTGGGGCCGGTAAGCGTACGTATACAGGTAGTACCAGAACCGATATTCCCATGTTTCAATGCAAAACCTGGGTACCTGCAAAGGGCCGAGGACCTATCTGTCGCTCTCCGGCATCTATGTGCTTGCAAACCCTTCTTCCAGTGATCCCTACTTCTGGACCCGTAATGTGAATCAAGAGGCGGGAGGGATAGGTAGGCGTGGCGTTGCCCTGGATGGATCGCTTTTTGGTGTGGCGATACATAGCCACCCAGGTCCCGCGTAACAAGAAACGAGCCTTGCATATTACCAGTAGAGCGGTAATGCTTCCTTCGAGAAGATGAGCCTGCTGTTGGATGCTGAAGTAGTATAGATCTTACTGAGTAATTGACATCATCCCAATCAGGCCACTTTGTGGGAGGCGCAGCCATTCACAGAGGTAGGGTTCGTTGGCGGATTACGGGTCGCATTTGCCGAGTCAACGACCCCCGCTCACTTCGGGACCACAACAATCGGGCAGGGAAGGAGTTCATCATACGTCAGGACAGCTATACCTAGGTATCATCCACTAAGAGCTGGGTTGTGGGGCAGAACACCAGCGGCTACACATTTTGACACGATGGAGAAAATATGACAATATGAACTTGAATGATTCGATTCTCAATCCTAAACGGCTTTCGCTCTTAAACATGCTAAAACATGCAATCCATCATCCGATGTACATAGAATACAAAATACATCCCTCATTTCCTTTCCAAATTACTAATCCTCTAGTATGTACGCTTGAATGGTGGTACAGCCTTGCACTCAGCCTCGTCCAAAGTGGTACCAACAACCTTCCTGTAACCTAATTGAGTCTCACCGTGTGGCTTCTTCTGCCACGACAATGTGTGCTTCATCCACTGGTCATCGTCACGGTCGGGGAAGTCCTCACGAGCGTGAGCACCTCGTGACTCTTTACGGTTGGCGGCGGATTCGGCAGTCTGTACGGCGCAGGTGAGGAGGTTGCGTAGCTCAAGGGTCTCGACAAGGTCGGAGTTCCAGATCATGCTGCGGTCCTTGATACCAACGTTGGCAAAGTCGGCGTCGACGTCGTGGATCTTCTTGACACCCTCGTCGAGCGACTCTTGGGTTCGGAAGACGGCGACATCGGTCTGCATGACCTTCTGCATCTGGAGACGGACCTCGGCAGTCGACTTGGCGCCGTCAGATGTGCGGATCTGGTCGAGGACGGAGATGGAATCGGCACCGGCATCGGCGGAGACGGGGTCAGCCTTCTGGCCGGGGCTGAAGTTGTCGCGGATGGTGTGAGAAACAGCACGACCGAAAACGATAAGGTCGAGGAGGGAGTTGGCACCGAGACGGTTGGCTCCGTGAACAGAGACAGAGGCAGCCTCTCCGCAAGCGAACAGACCTGGGACGACCTGGTCGTTACCCTGAGCGTCTTGGGTGATGACCTCACCAGTGTACTTGGTGGGGATACCACCCATGTTGTAGTGCACGGTAGGAAGAACAGGGATGGGCTGCTTGGTGACATCGACACCAGCGAAAATGGCGGCAGTCTCAGAGATACCGGGTAGACGCTCGTGAAGGACCTCGGCGGGCAGATGGCTGAGCTGGAGGTAGATGTGGTCCTTCTCCGGTCCGACACCGCGGCCCTCACGGATTTCCAGGGTCATCGATCGGGATACGACATCGCGGGAGGCAAGATCCTTGGCAGTTGGTGCGTAACGCTCCATGAACCGTTCACCCTCGGAGTTGAGAAGGTAACCACCCTCTCCACGGGATCCTTCAGTGATCAAGCACCCAGCACCGTAGATACCAGTGGGGTGGAACTGGACGAATTCCAGATCCTGGTTGGGAAGACCTGCGCGAGCAACCATAGCCATACCGTCACCAGTGCAGGTGTGGGCGGATGTGCAGCTGAAGTAGGCACGTCCGTAACCACCAGTGGCCAAGACGGTGTTCTTTGCGATGAATCGGTGGATGGTTCCGTCTTCCTGGTTGTATGCGACAACACCCTTGCAGACGCCGTCCTCCATGATCAGATCAGTGGCGAAGAACTCGATGAAGTACTTGGTGTTGTGTCGTAGCGATTGTCCGTACAGAGTGTGGAG